GTAAGAAAAGTTATTAACAGTCTTCAAATGCTGTACCTCTTTCTCCTCCACCCAATTAGGGCAAGACCTAAAGTAAGAGGGGTGGGAACCACTACAATTAACACAGTGAGGGTCCAGTTTGCCCTTGTAGATGTCGTGGTCCTTTCCACCACAACGAGCACATGTCACAGAATCACTACAAGATGTCTTTGAATGACCAAACCGCTGGCACTAGAAATATCGGAGAGGGTTGGGAATATGGGGCCGTACCGATGAAAACATCATAATCAGAACAGAGGTTGGCACCATAATACCATCTTGACGAGTGGAGATTCGACGAACTGCTGAAACTCCTTGGCTGGAGAAACCAGCAAGGATCTCTGACTTGGAGATAGACTTTAAGTCCCTCTCGACAATAATTCCCCATGAGGAATTCAAAGAAGTGTGGGGAGTAACCTCAATGGGTATATCCCCAATGGCCTTTGAATTCAAGAGGAGTTCACTGTACTTTGCTGTGGATGTTTCAACCAAGATGTCTCCAGAACGGAGCTTCTTAATGGCTTTGGAGAGCCAGCAAGCCCCTCTAATCCTTTCTATATAAATAAGGGAGACATTTGCCCTAAAGATTTATCAGACAGTGAATGCAGGATCATAAAGCGAGGTACAGGTCCACATTGTGGTGGAGACTGCTGTTCAGAGTCTTCTAGGCATGGTTGTTTATCAATTGGCAGAGTTTTTACCATTTTTTTATTTGGATTTGGGGAATCCATAATAAAGGAGAAAGATTCAATGCCCACTGACCCCACCCGCCATGGAGTCCTATGAGGGGATACACTACAACACCAAACAAGGACATTGAGCACTATACCCAAACACCAGCATCAGACACAATGTCCACAACACACGTTGAAAATGCCGATGGGACCAAACGATTCACCCTGGGAGGGGTGGGGGTGGCAACCCAAGGCCACCCGTCTGCAGGAATTCAAGGCCAAGGTGGTGTGTTGCAGTGCCCCAGACACCACTCAACCACCAGGATCCTCTCTTCCCCTTCACGGGTCGCCATGCACAGCAAACACGTGGGTGGATGTTTAGATACCAGAGGAAGTAACTGAAAATATAGAACCTTCCCTGGGAGGTCCCCTCACCATGTACAGGAATCCATGTCGAGGGGCTAAACGTAGGAATCTAACTCCTAGGTAATTAAGACCTGTACCTCCTTAGCAAATAAAGTCAAACCCAGGGTGCAATACTATTGGTGGAGAGTGGTCACATGTCATATACATGTTCAAAGGTGGCACAAAATTTATGGGGTATATATAATGCACTGAGCATTAAAAGTTTTTAGCAATTTTTAGGTGGCAGAAAGAAGATTAGCTCTGTGTGAGGTAAGACTGTATTGGAAATATATCACAGTACAAACACTGAATCTTTTAATCCACAACTTGGAAGGTTAAGGACTAAGCCACATCTAATCCAGTTAAAAGGAAAGTATAGAAGTATGTTAAGTTCTTCTGTAGTATGTGTAGCTGGTCAAGTGATCATTGTACATTGATAGGATCACTACCTCCCAATTCAGTACATGCATTAGTTAAAAAAACAATAACTAGAAATGTGATACAAAAGTTATAATTTTAAAGATGTTTAAGATTAGGATGTTCAATAGAAAGTTACTCAATGCATAAACACATAGTTTCCCAGCAATACTAAAAAAACTTTACATAAATTACACTTATTTCACTCTATAGTGTTATTAAAGACACTACATAAATATTTATTTAAGCAGGATCTCTTCTTTAACCAGAACTGCCTCAGTAGCAGGGGTAAAATGTAAAAACTTCAGGATTTATCCAGTCTTAGTGAAACTTGTTACAGTTTACAGTTTCCAAATCAGACAAAACTAATTAATTTAAGACTAGTCACATTATCAACAGAAACCCCATAGTTAATGAAAGTACGTCTTGTTGTATAACTGATGGGTCCACTATGCAAGTCGCCTTCTTCACTGGTCATCACTGAATATGTTTTTCAGACCATACCCCAACAGATAGCTCCAAGTCCCACTGACCATGATTGGAACTTTGCTATTCTTTGACATTTCATCGTCAATCACCACATTCCCTCAATTATCTGAATATGCGAGGTTCCAAAATTTTTGACTTGTGGATGTGATCATGATGGATGTTTTGACAGCCCTTGTTGAGATAAATCCATCTGTCAAGCCCAAAGATGTTGTGGCAGCACTTAAAAATAGGCTTGGTACTGACAAAAACAGTAGTAAAGGTAGTACTAGCTTTCTGCCAGATTAGAAGATGAAGAAAAAGGTCTCCAACTTTGAACAGATAATGAAGAAAGGTCACATGATTTGCTTTGACCATTGCTGGTATGGTTGTGCAAATGCTCTGAAACCCTGTACCTCTTTGACTGTTCATAACTCCCGACCGAAATAAGTTACCATTATATAGCTTGCATACTTGGATACAGCAGATTGCAGATTTTCTAATGCAATACCTCAAAGAAACAGTTACAGAAATTTCTGGTTCTTTGGCCATTCACCCAAAAAAAAACACTACTTTCCCTCTGGTTAAAAGAAAAATCCTGTGTTAATAGACTTTTGTTTTGACTGTAACTCAGAGCTAGTTTGGAAAACAACATTTACAGCTTTCCTCCAAAACTAAACTTAAATTGCTAGAGTAAAACCTTCTACAAACCTCATAATCACTAATCGCTGTTTTGTAAGCCTGAGTGAGAGGCCTGATGTTTGCTATTCGACTACTTCTGTTTAGTGTCTCATTCCTTTGGAAGGAAGACGTGCTCATTTCTAGCATAGAATTTTCTTTTGTAGATGCATCCATCAGTTTCTAACAATACAATAAGCAATTTCAAAATATGATATCAGTTTTTTCAAAGTGTAACTCTCTGGAAAACTTTGTATGTGACAATATACCCTAAATAGATGACACAAATGATAAAAAAGATTATACAAAAAAATATAATTTATATTTTAAGCACTGTTAGTAACACAATTTGTTTTTTAAAAAAAAAAGGGCCAAAAAATTCTCTAAAGAGCTCCATAAATTATATTTTTTGTGACATACCACTGAGATTGAAATATCTGTGCATGGCACAACTCTAAACAACCTTACCACACGATCTTTAGTAGATTTAAGTTTTCTTTTATTTATAAAGCTGATTCTGTCATTATGTGAACAACTTACATTTTCGGTAGGTTTATTTATAACCACAAAAAGAAATGTACAACATTAAAAATTAGTCAGAGAAAACAAAATTAAAAATAGAAGTACAGAGATCTTGATGAATGTCTATTAAAAACCAAATACAAATGTTACTCAGGCTGTTACAATCTAATAATTTGATACATATAGAGTATACATTTCAACACTCAATGTTCTATTCTATTCTGGCCTACAGTTATTTGCTTCAATAGTTTACTTCAGTGTTTCTCAACCTTTTCAATATCAGAGACCAGCTAACTGTCTCTCTAACTGTAATGTATCATTAAAATACAACAACATGATGATCATGATTGACCAATGGTTGAGAAATATTGTTCTAATTCACTTTCCTAAGTAGTCAAAATTGCTTCTTAGAAAGACCTAAAAAGTATGCTTTTATAATGGAAAATTCAACAATTAAAAGAATTTCACAGGAATTATAAAACATAAAAAATGTCATTAGATTTAGTTACATAATAATGAATACTTACTTTTTCTATACAAGGCTTAACACCAACCATGATACTTCCCCCAAAAACTTTGCCATTTTTACTGAGAGCTTTCTTAGCTTGAAGTTTTGACTGGAAGTGAATGTGCATCCAATTGCCACAAGCTGAGACCTGAAGATAAGAAAATTTCATATAACTTTTAATCCATTAAAGATCTGTTTATTATAAGTTTTCTCCAAAATGACTGGCTTCACTCATATCCAAATAGAACACTTTTCACTTATCTAAACTCAAAAATATATGCACATAAAGTTCAAATCATGCCAATTTTATAATATCTCTTTTTCCAAAACAATAAATATTTTAAAACTATTTATGTACAAACAAATAAACAACATAAGCTTAAATGCTTCTGTGTCATGTAATTCCACCAGTGTGTTTAATTAAACAAAGCCTTATATGTCCAATAGCATAAACCAGGATGAAAAAATTAAATCTGGTCCTCAGGATATTGATGAAACATGGGTATTAAATCCAAAAAACAAGATATTCCAAGAATTTTCATACAGATTATGAATAAGTTAAGTTCAGCTAGAACAAATAAAATTGGAACTGAGCCAGCTGAAAATGACACATGCAAGAATCACATCAGAGCACTGAGTCTTTGTGTCTCCAGCTTCTGGAAGGCTTCTCTGTATGTCAAGCAAAAGAAGGCAGGACTGCCAGAACAACTTAACTGAGAATCATTAAGCTTATTCTGAACAAGAACTAGTTTTGCTTGGAACTATAGTCAAGTTCAAGCTTTATCAGATCTTCTCAGAATTCCACATCATAGTCTTATGATTCAACAAGGGAAACCAAGGTTACCAATATATTTATTTCTGCCCATGTCCAGCACATCAAATGTCAATAAAAAGTAATTATAAACTTAACCAGCAACAACTTTTACATGCAGAATGCAAGCATTTGTAATTTGTGCAGAAGTTATAAAAAATTACCTGAAAACACCCAGATAAAGATGTATTCATCTTCTACATTATGAAATGATTACAGCCATATTACATACTATTATTTCTCCATCTTACCTGAAGGCTGTCTTCATTCCAGCTTTATTTTTAACTTTAATCAAAATCTTAATTATGTCTTAGCTATATAAAGTAAAGAACTACTGTGAGGTGTAACAAAGATTTTAGATTGAGATTAATGTTGCATTTCTAAAATAAGTAAGGATATTAAATGAAATGAATAGAAGAAAATACACTGGAAAATATAAATGATATAGCTGTTGTCCATTCATAAAAGTATAATTCTGTAATTATAAAAAACACACTATACTGTAAGTCTAAATTTGATTTATATTTGACAGCAATAATGCATAAGGAAAACTAATGCTCAGATGCATTTCCAGCCTCTGGTTAAGATCTTCATGTTATGTTAAAAAAATTTTCTTATAATACATTTTTAATTAAAAAATAAGTCCATGTTAGTTGAATAAGACTTCACTGGTCTTAGTGTTCACCATGTAAAAAATAATGTACAAATACATTCCAAATTGCACACAAACAAGCAAGTGAAGAAAACTATAATTAATAAAGAAATCCAGCAATCAGTTAAGTGTTCAAAAGCTGACAGTACTACAGTACATTAACACACTAAAATCTGAAAATACCAGGTTACAACAATCTACAAAAAATGGAAAAAGTTTCAGTTTCTGGCAATGACAGTGCATAATTATTATTATAAAGTTGTCTACTGTCTACAGCTTGATCATATAATTATTATTATAAAGTTGTCTACTGTCTACAGCTTGATAATATGATTATTATTATAAAGCTGTCTACAGCTTGATCATATGATTATTATTATAAAGTTGTCTACTGCTTGATCATATAATTATTATTATATAGTTGTCTACAGTTTGATCATATGATTATTATTATATAGTTGTCTACTGCTTGATCATATGATTATTATTATATAGTTGTCTACTGCTTGATCATATAATTATTATTATATAGTTGTCTACAGTTTGATCATATGATTATTATTATATAGTTGTCTACTGCTTGATCATATGATTATTATATAGTTGTCTACTGCTTGATCATATAATTATTATTATATAGTTGTCTACTGCTTGATCATATAATTATTATTATATAGTTGTCTACTGCCTACAGCTTGATCATATGATTATTATAAAGCTGTCTACTGCTTGATCATATAATTATTATTATATAGTTGTCTACTGTCTACAGCTTGATCATATGATTATTATTATATAGTTGTCTACTGCTTGATCATATAATTATTATTATATAGTTGTCTACTGCCTACAGCTTGATCATATGATTATTATAATAAAACTGTCTACTGCTTGATTATATAATTATTATTATATAGTTGTCTACAGCTTGATCATATGATTATTATCATAAAGCTGTCTACTGCTTGATCATATAATTATTATTATTATATAGTTGTCTACTGTCTACAGCTTGATCATATGATTATTATTATATAGTTGTCTACTGTCTACAGCTTGATCATATAATTCACAAACAAAATAATAGACAATTGTTTGACAGATAGTATCATAAAATGCAGCTTCTTTGGTGACAATCTTTTGGGATAACATACTGATTTTATGGATCAACACGTGTGCAGGGTTCTAAAACATTTCTATTCTATGTAAAAACTTTGTTTTTGAAATGTACGAAAAACAAAACTGAATGGGAAAAACATTACAATAACTATATTTAAATAAATCTAATCACCAAAATTAATATGTAACTCTTAACGTAAGCTGGACTGATGGAGCACAAAATAGAACTATTTAACAGAGTATTAGATAAGGAGCACGAGTGTTGTGTAAACATACCTGATGTTCAACAACGGTACCATAGAGTGAAAACTGTTGTAGAATATATGAAGCTGAAGCAGAAGGGTATCTGATCAAGGGTATAAAAAATATACATGAATCTTTCACTATCTTAAAACATGTTACTTTTTTTTAAAAATGAACACATGTTACAAAGCCAAAACTGAAATCTGTCTAGTTATCAGGTGGAGTAAGTTTGGTATGAACAAGCCAATTTTCTTTCTAGCTCAACTGGACAAGTAAACATTTTCAATATGAATTGTTTAGTAATGACCTTTTTAATAATTTAGTTGGATAATGTATTACTTAGCAAACTGTCAGGCAGCTGTACTGCACAATGGTTTACTGGGTAATACATTATTCCCCCCTTAAGTAGTAAAAAGACATAAGATGGTTTATGTTTTTAAGACTTATTACTTGAAATTAACTGAAAAATTAAAAACTTTTTCAGACATTTCTCATGCTAGAATATCAATAATGGTTAGCTTTTTTTGTCTCTCATACTAAAACAGTTTTTAAAAATTTTATAAGTACTTTTATGGAACATAACTTGAGAACCTGTTGATTGAAAAAAAAAAAGCTTAAAATTCCATACGGAATTACAATATAGAAACATATTAAGGTAAAAATATTGGTACAAAGTTACAATATTGGCCCAATTATAGGGTGATCTTGAATATAAGGTGACCCCCATTTTTAGAAAACATGGGAAAAAAAAATAATTGTCATAACATCCTTTTTTAGGTCTGCAACATCAATACCATAACCAAACAGCCTGCAGGTGGATTAGTTGCAAGAATTAGCGATGACCTTGAGTGAATATCTGGCATGCATGCATGGACAGATGCTATCTGGACATCCATGAATGCAACAGGCTAGAGTAGGGGGAAGGGGCCTATGGTCGGCAACAATTAAAAGGCGACTATGAATCTTACTGGAACGTAAACAAAGTTCAAGAAGTCTAATGGTGTTGACAATACTTATTACAGTTCTGTGGGATAATGAAGAATCATTGCTCAGTATATTTTCTAGGAGTTAGTGCCTCCACTATAGGAATGCTTGTATGGAGAGAAAGAACTTCAAAAATGGCCATAAAATCACATTCTTAGACTTAAAATTTGTGATGATGGTTAGAACTTCTATAGTTTACCATAAGTTATAAGATGTTCGAAAGAGTTTTTGTGGTGCTGTAAAGTGGAAAATTAAGAAAGCTTAGAACTGGTCTTATAGGTGTGTTGGGTTTATGAATTCCTGGTTAAACTGTAATACTGTGGATAGATGGAAGATTGATGCTTGTACTGGTCCCTAATAATTTCATTTTTGTTTACAAGTCCCTAAGTTAATTTTAATAATTTTTTCTCTGTTTCTTGTAGGGTACTTTATGTGCCACATCTATTAAATACAATATTTTTTATAACTTATGTGTGGCCACGTAATCAGTGGCTCCCTGCATAATCAAATTCTGAATTTCCAGATTAGTAAAGCCAATCCCGAGTCAGTGTTACAAGATTTATAACTTTTGACTTATTTATAAGTTACTGTGTTTCTTGCTGCTTAATACATGATGCCTGCTGACCAGACAGTTTGATTAATGGCTTGTCAAAAGATGAAAGTGTTTATTGTTGTTAGTTTGTAAGAACAGTAATGGTTAAACTGCTAACTATGATGGTTGAATTCCATAAATTATGTCTAACTTCCTGTTAAATGTTACAGTTTTAAGTAAGGGTTGTGCAACTGTAAATATATGTGTAATCACTGCATAATCAGGAATTTTAATAATGGTGTATAATTTCAAATTTGTTTCAACATTATTTTTTTGCTGTATAATACTTTGATGGGGGTGTGACAAACAGGAATGATTCAGTTAAAAACTCTCTACAGAGCCCTGAAGGTGTCTTTTATGATACACAAAGAAGCTATAAGAACACTATTTTGGTAATAATTCTATTTGAAAATTAGAATTTACCCAAAAACTGTTACCCACGTCCCATCAAGTTCTTCATCAGGAGACAAGGAGTCACTGCAATTGAAGATGTTTCACAATAACTTTTTAACTGGTTAGTGATTAAGTTCATCCAAAAATATATATGTAAAGACAGAAGATGTAACCCATTTAAAAGCATATTTTTATACTTAATGACAAGAAGTAAATGACATAAAATTTAAGTTTTAATGTATAATATTAATACTAATAAAACTTGCAGTTCAGTTACTTAATAAAAGCCCATCAACATAAATTATCATTATTTTTCTTCATTAAACTAGACAAACAGGAATGTATTTAAGGAATTTTAAAACTTACATACTTTAGATTTTACTTCAATGCTGCTTCTTTTTTTTAACATGTAAGAATTATCAGTACTGAAACTGTTTTGACAACTTACCTAGATTTTTAACAAGTAAATCAATCAAGTATTACATAAAGAACATAACTTGTATTATAAACTAAACACAAACACACACATGGTGAGCTTTGTGCAGTCTACAAAAATGGTTAAAGAAAACTTTTGTAAACAAGTGTGGTATTATACACAAAAGAAATTAATAAATGGTACAATAGCATGTGTGTGTGCATATTGTATGCTACAATAGCTACTTGAAAACCATACAGATAACAACTAGGAAAAGTATACACATTCTAAAAAACATCTTTGGAAAATTTTAATTTAATAAAAATTCTTATAGGTTCAGACAAAAAACATTATTACTAATGGAAAAATACACTTTGTAATATTAATTCAAATTCAAAGTAGTCACAATAATACTGAACATCAAACTTTATATATATAATAGCAAAAAAAAAGACTTATTCTACTAACTGTTCCCAATAAAACTGAAATTTCATCATCAGTAATGAAGTTCATGTTGCTAATAAAAATTCATGATATTAACTGTTTTTGCAATAACAGATGTTGAAAATACAATAATACAGCTGAATACTTGATCATGGTAACAAATATAAAGCTTGCCAAGGATAGCCAATTTTAACTGCTAAAGCTTAAAATTTCTCACAAGGTCTTCCCACAGCTGTAAATGATTTAAAAAAATTATCTGAGACAAAAAAAACAGTAACCTAATTTTATGATTAAAAACAAACAAGAAATTATAGTTATAGAAAAAACACTGGTATCTTTTTGCATCAACATTACAACTGATCGCCAAAATTCAGTTCCTTTATATTAGTCTTCAAGCCCTTTCGAAAGACTAAATTAACTTCAAATCAAACACAAACTAAAATATGATATGCATAATCAGCAACAGAAATAAAGTGATACAAAACAGTGAGCTTCCACAGTAGGTTGTGGCTCTCTCAGATTAGATATGCACTGTTTTTCTTGAAAGTTAGAATGAAACTCTCCCAAAGCACCAAAACTGCATATACGAGGCCTGTGAGAAAAGTATCCGACCTTATTTTTTTTTGCGATGACCTGATGGATTTGAATCAAGCACGCTTGCATGAGCCGACCTTGAACCTTCGTGCGCATGCGTGAATTTTTCCCCGCTTGTTGATTGCGTCAGTTGTTGGCAAGCAGCCATTGAGTGAGGTAGTGTGTAGTGCTCTTGTCGGTTTTTCATTGCAAGGAAAATGACAGAACGACTGGAGCAGCGCTACTGCATCAAATTTTGCCAGAAACTGGGCGACAGCCAGGCGGAAACCATTCGGAAGATTCAGACGGCTTTCGGTGACGATGCTATGGGCATCACACAGATTAAGGAGTGGTACAACCAGTTTAAAAACGGCCGCACAACGGTGGAGAGCGAGCCACGCTCCGGTCGGCCATCAACATGCCGAAATGACCAGGTCATTGCCAAAGTGAACGCTATGGTGATGCGGGACCGTCGTGTGACTATCTGAGAAATTGCGGAAGAGGTGGGCATCAGCACTTTTTTGGCACATTCCATTATGCCTGAAGATTTGGCTATGAAGAGAGTGGCGGCGAAATTCATGGCGAAGCTGCTTACGGCGGAGCAAAAGGAACTTCGTGTTGAAGTCTCACAGGACATGCTGGACTCCACAAACAGTGACCCCGACTTCATGAACACCATAATCACTGGTGACGAGTCTTGGGTGTACGGGTACGACCCGGAAACCAAATCCCAGTCGTCACAGTGGAAGCATCCCACGTCACCAAGACCAAATAAGGCCCACCAAGTGCGCAGCAACATCAAAGTGATGCTGACTGTTTTCTTTGACTCCCGCGGTGTGGTACACCACGAGTACGCACCACAGGGTCAAACAGGGATGTCCTCCATCGCCTACATGATGCTGTGCGGCGCAAGAGACCGGAGTTGTGGTCAACAGGAAATTGGCGCCTCCATCGCGACAATGCTCCAGCACATTCCTCGCACTTGATTCAGACTTTGTTGGCGAAAAACCAGACTCCTGTAGTTCAACAGGCTCCTTACTCTCCTGATATGGCTCCTTGCGACTTATGGCTGTTCCCCAAACTAAAGAGGCCATTGAAAGGAACGCGATTTCAGACAAGAGAGGACATTATGGCTGCAACGACAGCTGAGCTAAACTCCATTTCGAAAGAGTCTCTCTCGGAATGCTTCCAACAATGGCGGCACCGCTGGGAGAAGTGTGTGGAGTCCCAAGGAGACTACTTTGAG